GAGAGAGAGAGAGAGAGAGAGAGAAAATATCTAAACTATATATAGTTTAGATTACATTTGCTCATAATTTACATATTGTAATAACATTTATTTTGACAAATTAATCATTTCGTTTCGACTAACCGTATTTAAATCAACATTAATTTTATTCACTAGCCTAGACACACGCCAAAGTGGGGCATTATGTCAATCATTAGTTGCCGCTGTGTTAGTGTAAAATAGAACATAAGATCTAAAATGCCATACAGGGATTACATGAAACAGAAAATGTATATGGATAATAAACATTATTATATAAAAGGTTTATAAAAACCATATATCGTTAAGGTTTTGATAATATGACAAAGGATACATCTTCAAAATTTCGGCAATTTGCGAATAGTCATGAGATTTCTGGGTGATGGGAGTTTTAGTTTCCACGCGACAAAAGCAAATATTTGTGTTGAATTGATTCAATTTTATCTGCGTATATACTATAAAAAGAAGACCAGACAGGGGAATCATAGCAAAATTGGTCTCATAAGTGTGAAATATAGAATTTTAAATAATTTGTGATAAGAGAAGATGTCGTATTACGTTTTACAAATCCCAGCTTATGTAAAACCTTGTTTGCTATGTGATCAATAGGGCTGTGATTGCGTATATATATTGTTATGGACCATGCTGACGTGAATATTCGTGTCGCAGTGAGTCGCACTATCATATGGGTGCCGTCTCACTTAAGGTGCGACGGCAATTTCCAGATACCCGGGGCATGCGCTGAATTTATTTTTGTGGGTGCCAAGCGTATGCCTATCTGTGTTTGGGCGCCGGCGTCGAGACATCAACAAGAGTGGGCACCCTGGGTCGGAGGTTGCATTTACTAACTAATTACTTAAATAATACACATTTTCCAAGTAAAATCACCCGACTAAAACGACGGGGACACGTTTTTTGTTCGTGTTGATCTTTTACATTAACGGTTAATTGAATATACAGGAACTTACAGTGATGTGATGGCTGGAATTTAGATACTTCACTCCGAAAGGATTACACACTCAACTGGCAGTCGGTGGCAGCAGATGGACCCCCGAATGGCCATGGACTTCTCCGGTAGCCGGCAGGAACGCTGCGCCTGGTTGAGTCGGAGACCGCCCAGGGTCCAGTGGAGTTGAGGCAGCAACGTTCGGTGCTCGGGTCACAGGTCGTCAAACGTCGCCTGGACCGAGTAGTGTTTAGCGGCCGAGAAACATTGCTGCACCCCCCCTCGTATAGTGAAGGGTGTTATTTAAATTGTTTTAGTCCGACATTCGGAATAAATTCCGATGTTGGAATTATCGAAATTACTGGCTCGAGATTATTACCAGTTTCTCGTGCGGCAGTAGTCGCCGTTAAAATTTCAAACAAATCTCCAAGCCGACAGCTCACTTCGGCAGTCTATTTCCATCTGTCCAGACCTTCCAGCGCCCCTTTGCCTCTGCGATTTCCACCCCCCACCCCTCTCGCAAGATGCCCGACCTATCCCGTCGCAAAACTTAACGGAAAGTTACACGCGAAGGTTTTTATAGGCCGGTCTTGATTTACAGTGGGCTGCTGTCGCCTCTTAATGCAACAGTTCTGCCTGTCCGTCACCCACTGTTGCACAAAGGGGTGGAAGGGTGCCTTTCGGGGGCGGTTACGAGCAGGGATATCGGTACGCGTGCAGCTGTGTGTGTCGAATGCGCGAAAGAGGCACTTTTTGTCTCGAAGTATTATAAATCAGCGTGACTCGAGGGCCGCGCTGTGCAATGAGCCTTGCCATTGATCATTGCAATATGAAAATAAATTTACATAATATGTTCAATTAAAAAAGGTAAATAGGAGCAATAGTGCAATGTAATGTGTAGGAGTAAAAATAAATAAAAAGTGTGGAAATGTGGAAAATATGTTTTCAGCAAAAAAGATACGGAAACCATATAAATTCCTACAAGCGACAAACATTAAGTCAAGGGCTTAATTTTGAAGAACACTAATTTCTTGGGGGGGGGAATGGAATGGGTAATGTACATTTCACAAAATACAAAAATATAGGTATTGCAACAAAAATATGACTTCCTCTCAATTCACGGGCCTGACTCTTTAATCACCACTGCACGTTCGTATGCGTGTGAATGCCCATTTCATTTCGACTGCCACTGCCGCAGACAGGTCTAGGCGTGCTTCGCGGGCGACTTCGTACGAGCCAGGCGAGCGGCAACGCTGATCCGTGGCTGTGGCAACGTAAACAAATCTTCGGAAGCCCGTTGCTTCAGAGCAGGTCACAAGATGAACCATAGCACGTGGCGAGAGAACTGCCCGAGTCGCTTACAAGCTGACGTTGCTTCTTTGCGCGGATGAGGGGTGAATATGCAGCAAAAAATGCAATTATGATAATACATGCAAAGCATAAATTGGATAAATTCATTTTAAATGCCTCAAAACGTATAAAATAGTTGAAACAGGATGTTTCAATTAACATATAAGATATGCAAATGCATATAAGTCACAGCCCTAGTGATCAATATTAAAATTAAATACCAGTTTTTTTTATCAGAGACGACATATAGATCTTTACATTGTTCGACAGATTCTAAGATATAATATTAAAACATTTTTTCAAACAGTTTTCATATTAATAGAATCAGATAAATATTTTCATTTTTCAAATCGTCTCCTGTGAATTTGAAGCTGACAATGGTACTGCAAATCTTAACTGGTTTTTTGATATGCAACTTTTTTATGAATTCTTATTTTACTTAGTTGTAAACTTGAACACTCATATTGTATTGCTGACTGACCATTTTTCAATAATTGAGACGTTTCATGGGAAGGTAGTTATTACCTAAACAAAATACTTAATTTCAAAATATAAAATTAAACAACACTTTATAAATACTTTTTCTTCGACACTGAAATGGAATGTATTCACAAATTTTGTCATTTTGTGTGTTACAATATTTAAAAACGCTGGGAAAGGATTGGTTATGAAATCCCAAGGTTTCAAGGAGCAAGCAAGGGCAAGAGCAAGGAGGCGACTGAAGCGCGTCGAAGGGAATCCCGGCCTCTGGCAAATAGAGGCCACGCGGGCGACCTGCCCTTACGACTCCCTTCGATACCTGAGAAAGTGAAAATATTCAAAACAAACTTGCAAATGATTGTAGTATATTGCTAAGTACAAGTAATAACAGTTAATTAAATATTTTTTTAAAAAATCATTCAATTTTATTACAATTTATTCTGGGGCCCAGATGACGCAGGGAATTAATCGAATGGGTGAAAACCAAAGTATAAGTGACATTTTATAAATTCTGACATTTTTTATTTTGTTCTGTATTTCAGTCGCAATATATTTTCGTAGTTTTAATGAACAATTGAAAAGCTGTGGTTTTATTGATGAAACCAAGCACCACGTCTGTACAGTAGTGTTGGCTGAAATAAATTTCTCATAATTTTTAAAATGTTGCTTATACTATTCTGGTTTTTACCCATTCAATTGATATATAACGATATTTTCGCGCAGCATTACATAACTTTCTCTCTAGACCGTAGCGAGAAAGGGAAAATGTGGAACGCCAGATGCGAGGAGATTATGAAGAGGGCGCTCGCCCGCTGCGCCTCCACTTCAGTCGCAGGCTAAGGCCCTTCCGGAATCTGGGGACACCAAACGATTGATTGACTGGTGTTCCCGGGCGCGGTATCTGGTAAGGTCATTAGGCCCCGTAAGTGTAGTGTATATTTTATATCGCTGGTGATGGCGGTTATCTTCCCCCACTGGATGGCAAACTCCAACGACGACCTATCGTCTGTTTGCGGGGTTTCCCCTAATCAGGTATCTCCCACCAGCGAGACAAGCTCTTAAGTTTCCCAGCGTGTGTGGTTGTTAATTTTGAATTGAATTGATGCCATACTTTACGTGTCGAGACTCGCGCCGTCAGACCCGCTCTTCCGTCTGACCACGCAAATTTCGCTACGCTTCTTTCACCCACTAGCGAAGAAAGGAGGTATTTCTTGGGAGACGAAACAGGCGATTTGAATTTAGTTTATAGGCATCATTTAGGCTTGAGGATATTTTACATTCAAATAAATCTACTAACATGGGACAGCCGGCTTTATTTCCCCTCCGAAGGAAGGCGTACAAAGCATTTTTTAGCCCTTAAAAATCCACGGTTTCGACCAAGTTTTGTTTGTATTAATATGCAAATTGTTTCGAGTTCTAGGATTTCTGTTTTTGAATTGAGTCACAACTGAAAAAGGGTTTCGTGGTTTCGGTTGAATGAGTCCCACATTACCCCGGTCCCTTCTGGGTGTCTATTAGGATTTCCACAGTTCCCTCGAAAAACTAAAATAAAATTTTAAAAAATCCTAACAAGTCTTTCCTTTTGTTTGCCATTACTGAACTAGGAGTGTGAGCATGTTCATGGAAGAAATCCCCAAATATGGCTCCTGACCGCTGAATCTCCTTGCAGTGGCTGTTTTGTGTCAGGAAATTTGACTTTATGTTGATGCGATTGTAATTGTGTATTTTATAGAGAATGTGTATTGAAGTCTATAAATATTGCAGTTTTAAATATATAACATATTTTATCAATTATTGCATTTTGTTTTCTTTTGTAGTAATCCAGGCTCTTAACAATGTAATCTGGAATAGACAAATGCGGAGAAAAATCATTTCTTTTGCTGATGATCTATTTAAAAATTTAATGGATTTTTTATGGAATTTTTGACTTTTTTCATTAACTGTGCTTTCTAATACATCCCATTATTGAAGATTGTTAATCAATGATAAACAAACCAATTGGTTAAATTTAATTTTAAAAAAAAGCAATCTGCATTAGCTAGATTTTCTTTCAAATATAGTGCCTTTCAGTATTTCGTATTGGGCGGGTATTTTGACTGGCGTGGCCACCGAAGCGCTACCATCGCACCTGAAGCGCTCTGCAGGTACTTGTATTCGTAATAATATTTTAAAAAATTAAAAAACATGGCGGCGCCTAGTTCGGCGAACGTCTACCTAGAGCGCTAAAACCATAGGGCGAGCTCAAGGAAGTTGTAATATATATTATAGACTCGTTGAGTCAGCCACTTTGTTCAGATTCCTCGCGGCAGCACGCTAAGCCCCGGGCCCGGCAACTCTCCATCAAAATCGGGGACAAAGCTCGAGGTTGCTACTATAGGAAGCGCTAGTGTCGCCGGGTGCAGCTGCAGGTTAGGCTCGCCAACTTTCCCACTTACAAATTGGCTAATTTGTGACAAATACGAAAAGTGTCTTCTAAATGTACAATTATTCATAATCACTACTTGTAAGAAACCTCTGAAGAAAGCGCGAACGTAGACGTTATCTTTTGTACCATTATGGTCCTGCTTGCGACCTGCGAACTCACGTAGCAGTCACGCACGTTTAAAGAATCGTTGGCAGCAGTTCCTGTTTTAGTTCGTGTAAAGAAGGTGATGCAGAAGAGCGCGCCACCGTAATGGTCCCCACCACGTTATATGGGAGTTATAGGGCCCTGGCTAAGCCACTACAAGCATGTGAACTGATGTAAACGCAAGGCCGTGCTAGACAGGGTGATGTTTATAGACTGAGTGGCTGTACGTTGTGGTGTCAGATGACTTTAACAGTGAATTAGTAAATAGTGTATTTTCATAATGGATATAGGAGACCGTCATACGTGCCCTGTTTGTGGAGGGTGTGATTTTTTGAAAGAAAATGGGTTTTTCTATTGCATTGAATGTCAAACTCAATGTGAGGTATGATTGTTGAAAAAAGATATAAATATATAAATAATCATATTATTTCCTGCTTATTCAATTTGAACGTTGATGTTCACTGTAGGGCATTCGTGAACAAGTATTCGAAGACCTCGGTGGCGGTAACGACGAGGAAGATATATTAATTGGAACACCATTTGCTTGCAAGAAAACGAAAAACAAGAAGAAAAATAAACAGAAAGGTTAGTGAAAAAAATTTGCTTTATTCATTGCAGGAACAAAACATGTGTAAGGTGTAATTTAATGTTTTGTAAAGAATACCAATGTCAACAAAACTTAATTGCTAATTGAAATTAATTTTACTGTAAATAACAGTTGATTGTTTGAATCAATGTTGATTAAATATTTAACTTTTTATAACCACTGAATAAAAATGTGAATCACTTCTTAAAGGGTGTGTATAGTTTAAAAAGTTGGTTTTCTAGAGAAGTAGAGTTGCTAACACAACTGCAGATCACCTTTGTTTTCATGCATTATTTATTTATCATATGGCTTCATATCTCAAAAATACATGAACATGTATATAAACACACCAAAAGTTCAATAACAAACACACTGGAACAATCATAAACATAAGTCACAAATGTATATATGTAAGTTATCAATATTTTCTACTGCACTCTTGGCTGCAGTCAAAAAATCTGTTGGCCCACCAACATAGGATCTTCATGGTCACTCTTCCACAATATGCCCAATGGTTTGTCTATCAGCATTGTAGTCACACTGTGAAGATTGTTTTTTTCCCCCCATTTATAGAGGGAATCTTTGTATATCCCATGATTTATCCAGATTCTGTTTACTCAGCACCATGTTTCTCGTAATTCAGAACCCAGTGGCTTCTCTGTTATGTATGTCATCGTGGCTTTCTCCAGGTCTCAGTGATACTGAAATTTTCACAGTGAAGTGAACTAGCGTCCCTGATGGGTGGGTATGTAGATCAAAGTCTGTTTTTCTGTAAATGTTTTAGATCTGAGTTAACTGGAAGTTTTGGGAGTGTAGTATTTCACACAGAATGGTTGTAAATCATTTTAATATTGAACTTAGGGGCATAACTTGAGCTCTAATCATTTGTCTTATTGCTGTATATTTGACCATTGGTAATTTTAATATTTCTCAAACAATTTGCGCAAGGGCATATCTACGGCATGTAAGACATGGTGCTGAGTGCCCCTAACATGGGGTGATTTATAGAGTATACCAAATAAAACGAACAACATCTACCCTAATTTGAAGTAATCTGACAGGAGCAATTTCTAAACTTTTAATGGGGTGCCTGAATTCCTAGAAATGCTTCTGAATGTGTATATCACAGCACTAAAGTAATAAAATATTGTAGTGTATTATTATGGTTTAGGAAATCGCTTTTTTATTCTGTTGTTAATAATTTCCAGTTACTTGGCGGGAGGTGTATTGATGAATCTTACAATCATTGTGTATCTGGGAATATTTCAAAATTTTGTCTTGTGAATTGAGTTTTTTAAAAATTCTATATTCTACTTAAAAATTAGTTTGGTGAATTCTCACTTAGAGATAACTGAACACACTTTCTATATTTCTTTATAAGGTATGTGAATGCTCAACTTCATTTGATTTAAATACAAAATTATTATCTTTGTCACAGATATTTGAAACTAGGAACATGAAACATGACTGTCAATTATAGTGTGACTATGATATACAAGAACGATGTTCGTATGATATACAAGAACGATGTTCGTATGATATACAAGGACGATGTTCGTATGATATACAAGGACGATGTTCGTATGATATACAAGAACAAAATTCAGTTCATAAAAAAGTATGCATAGAAATACAACTAAACATGTTTCTAGAAGAAAGTAGTTTCTTATTGCATTCCATGGATGTTGACCCTATTCATGCACTCTCCAATTTAAACAATCTACACCAACATTACTCTTATTTCACGTTTCTGTAATTGACAAATGTGTTTACCCGTTTGCCATAACAAGCCAGTCACTAATGCTCTTTGTAAGAATAATAAAAACATTGGGTACATTATATTCTCAAATGTTAGATCACTCAATAGATTTACAAAGTTGTAATAGTAATCTCGGATTATCATATTAGTTTGATAGTGTATTATATCTTTAAATATTCTTACCCTCTCTCCCAATCTCTGCATTCTAAAGTATTTTATGCCAACATATATAACATTTGAAATTGCATTCCCATGGTGCTAGTTAATGTAAATGGATCATTATAACTTTACATGAAATGAAACTTTATTTTGAATTCAAATGTCCTGTGATTATTCTTGTCTATCAAATTGTAATACGAGTCCCCGAGTAACTACTGACTACTGAGCAGTATTTGGAGGCTCACATTTTCGCAGAAGTGAGTTTCCTGAGATTGAAATTAACATGTTTCTTAAAACTGTCAATTTTCTAAAAGATATTGTTAAACACAATAGTTAGGGTATTAAATAATTATAGGAGTTGTCAGCTTCTATAATTATTTCATTTTAAATGCCAACAACTCATTGCAAAACCAATAGTTACGGCATTTTTGAATTAACACAATTGCTCAATTTTGATCACTGAAACGTTGATGTTGAAGATCAGTAATTTTTCCGACTAGTTTTCTCAGAATAAATTAACATTTTCTCTGTTGAGGCTGTGCTTTGATGTGTCTTGAATTTCTTGTACTTGTAGGTGAAGAATTCACTTCGTGGGAGCTGCTCAATTTTGTTCTTGTGGGATTAACTGAAGAACTCATGTCATATGGTGCTCCCAAATCATTGAGAGACACAGTTCTGCAGATGTGGGCTAGTTATTTACAGAAAATTGAGATTGCATTTTTTTCTAAAGAAGAAAGCGCTCTCCCTAAACTAGGAATTCAGTACCGTAGTAGGTGAGTAGTTTCTTTTCATTGTTGCAAAATTATCACCTTTTTGGTTTTAAATTCTTATGAACTGGTAGCAATTATGTTGATTTAGAATTGTTTGTGTATTTTACTTTCTTGTACATATACATATACACAAAATATTATAACATAGAGAAAGTTAAGTATTGAATTGAAATAAATGATGTTGAGATTACGAAAAGAGGGGTTCCCTGATACCAAGGTTTCTATTGAAAGAAGGGATATTATTTATTTAGAGTTGAAGAATACTAGACAATGGAGTTGCAATTATGATCAGGGAAGAAATGAAAAACAATGTGTTGTAACGAACAAAATGCATAAATTCATCCATCATCCAAATCGTTTGCTTGGAGGGTGAAGGATGAAATAATTATGATAATTGACCGGATTTTTATATAATTACATATTTTTTGTCTTTCTTCTTACTGTTCTAAAATTTGAAATCTTGGCAAATCATTGCCGTCCTAATACACTTCTGACTGGGGACTGTTCCTGGTACCTTTTTGTTTAAGTATTCTCCTGAATTTACCGGTTTAAATTTCACATTTCACCTGCCTGTTGTGCCAAGGTTATCCAAAGGTCGCCCCATCATGATATAAATTTATATATGTGTAGGTCTGATTGGCTGTTTGTACAGATATTAGGTAGCGAAAAATTTTTATAAAGTAATTTGTTTGTCCTGACTGTTTTCTTTACATATTTATGTGTACGTTTTGATATTTCATACTACATACATATCTGGTGTCTAGTGATAATGAAGGTTGAATGGACACGTACATACATGAGGCAGGACTGAAACCTGCCATCCTTCCATCTATATCAGCATTTTTATCCAATCATTATTATTATTTACAAAACCGTAAGAAGTTTGGCCTAGTGATTGGACCACATGAGTCGGAGACGTTGGGTAGGTGAACACAAGTACTGGGCATTGAGGCTGTGGGTTTAAATCCCACGAAGGGCATGGATAGTTTATGTTGCTTTCATAGCTTGGGGACATTATGAGTCCCTCCTATATTACATCTGTACCCTTTTCCTTCTATAAGCTCTTGGCCTGACAGGCTTGTGTGTGAGATATGTGTAATTGAGAATTCCAGAACCCAGAACAATGGTACAAGCATCAAGATGAGGCAGGATACCTGGTCTTTAGTTTCACTCACAACCCTTGTGTGGGATCCACAGCTCTCGTTTTGGCAATTTGGCAACACATGAAATGTGTACCTTCTGCATCCCTTTCACATTTAGCAACCTCCAGAAACGTCTCCTCAGCTGTGAGAATGTGGCTCATTTTGGTTGGAAAAAAACACTTATTCTGTCCTTGTTACTTTTTAACATGTTGCAGCCACTGCACTGAAAAGAGTAAAATAATAGTCACTTTGAACTTTTACGTGAAGGTCAGTTTATCTTGTTTATTTTATGGTAATGAGATATAAGTCGCATAAATCTAATACTATGTCAGTAACATCTGGAATCCCTCAGTGATACCATCTGGGAACATGGTTATTTATGGTGTTCATCAACGATATACGATATAAAGTTTTAGATACTATAATGTTAGTCTTTTTGTGGATGACTGTAAATTTTGGTGAGTCATCTTTACGAAACTGACTTGTTTTGACTGATTTGGATAGATTGAATATGTGGTGTGCCCATAACTCATTAAATCTTAAAATCAAAAAATGTAAACTTCTTTGTTGCAATCATGGTCAAAATGAGATTGTTAGTAGTTATGTGCTTGATAACTATTTTTAGGTATTCTTCTGCTATAGCGCGTCTCGTTAGAAGTGTTAATAAATTATTGTCTACAAAAGATATGTTACAAACTTGAACTGCTTTTTACAGATTATTAAACTGCTGTGTTATTAATATAATAGATATTTGCTGATAATGACTGTCTAATTATGATGGTCTGAATTTTACCATTAACCACTTTTTGGCTATTAACTACTATTGGTTTGGGCCTTTGAGCCTGTTGCAAATTGTATTAAATAAATATATTATTTTTGTTTATAAATAATCAAGAACTTGGCCCTAATGTTTCATGAGATATCTCTTGAATTCTCTCTTAAGTTGGCTTTCAGTATTATAATATTTACTGTTACATTGCTTATTCAATTAGAAGAGTATCAGCCATAACTTCCCTCAACAGTCTTCAGCATACTAGGCAGAATCACCAAAGAAACTTTTGTTTGGCTGTTATGACCTTTCCCATTCCACCCACCCTGTGCAGTGCGAAAAGATTTTGGAATGTGAGCCGCGAACCTGACCACCTAAACTCGTGAATGGGGAAAAAAATACATAAATAGGAAAATTGCTGCAGCTTATGACCTGACTCTCACCTCCTTCTCTGCTATCTTGAATGTCAGCCACAGTTGTCTTGAAAGGAGGCAGGGACTGTGGTTGCCAAATTACTAAAACAAGAATGTGTTCCCATGCATGGGTTGCGAGTTAAACCAAAGATCTGGTATGTAAAGATACAGGGTTGAGGCCCTTGCAATGTTTGGGGAGTAGGTGCTCTTCTCTGGGAATGTCCCCAAAAGAAGAGTAGGTACTGTGAGATGTCATAGCAGAAAGACCGAAAATACTTGGGTACTAACAGATATAGGTGTTGTGGTAAGATATCTTTGGCATTTTTAAAATAATTAAAGATGTTGTCATTGCCAACAATGTTTTTTAATTCAATAGCAGCTTTCGATGGCTTAGCCATCATCATCAGTTGTCTGCTAGATGGAAGAAACAAAACGACTAGGTAGTCGTTTTGTGGCTTCCATCTGATGATGGCTAAGCCATCGAAAGCTGCTATTGAATTAAAAAACATTGTTGGCAATGACAACATCTTTAATTACTAACAGATAGCAACTGTGAAGACAGTGAGGCCAAACCGAAATGCTAGCCCAGATTCAAGAGAATAGAAACCTACTATTATAAAAAAGTCCATGCAAACTGCAGCACCACTAATTTCAAATTCGTATTGGTTTTCTGCAGTAAAATTAATTTCCTCAAGTTACTTTTTACAATTTCTACAAGTTACTGTTTTTCAGAGATGCAATGAATTTGTATGGACTGAATCAAAAAAAGAAACAAAGAAAAACCAAGAGGATTAGCCTATTGAATGTTTCTAATTGTGCTGATTTAAACAGTACAATAGCTGATTCTGAGGACTGGGCTTCCCAAAAAATACAGAAGAACATTAAAAAGAAAGCAAAGGTAAGCTTGTTAAATTTATGTAAGATGTTATTGTTGTATCATTTTTTATTGTAGTTTTCTTGCACTGCAGAAGTATTATAACAATGTTTTAGTTTCTTATAATATTCTTACAATTTGAATTGAAAATTAAGGTTTAATTTGTGTTTGTTTAGAAAGCATTCATGGAAAAAGTTGCTGAATTAAGCATAGCAGAATGTGCAGATAATGAAAGTATTATCAGTTCTTTGGATCAATCAAGGGTGTCTGATCTATCAGCAGTTGATGATGCCTTTAGTGTGTCATCCAAGGCACTTTCTGCTGATGATGAATCTTTTAGCACTCCCAAGTATGTATGGCCAGTTGTGATATTTTATATAAGAGTTATCAATTATAGTTTGTTATTTAGAAACCTGCACTCAGATGAAAATTAAAATAATAGTTAATAATTAATTAACTAGTAGATTATGTATCGTAGCTGATGGGTAATAATTGAAACGGGCTGCCTTGAATTGAAATTGAACCGACCTAACTCTAACAGTCAAGAGTTGTGACTCAACTCGACACCAATTACTTATTTCTCTATATTATGTACCATATTTCACTACCTAGCCTTTGTTGCTGCCCCACCTTCACTTCAACTTCCACTTCAGCGGCACCTCCACTCTTGAAAAAGTTTTTATCTGCATTTCAATAATAGTCCAGTCATTATGCAGTTTGCTAAAACAAATTGTGGTGTTTTGATTTCTTGTTGTTTTATGTTATTTGGTTTGCTAACTATGAATCTGAAGTTTGCAAAAAATTATGTCCACAGAATTTGAATTCCAACACATAACACTAACATGATTTTCTTCGATTTTTTTTGTCAATATCTAAAAAGAATTATTGAATTTAGGCAAAAAGTACTCTTAGATAAAATATTCTACCTAAAATTTCCTATAATTTAGTTCCTTGCAATGTTTTTCGTTATGCACACTGCTTATGCATAATTGTAATGCAAAGGTTTCTGATTGGCCATTCCAATACGTTGCTGATCAAATGGTAAATGGCATAAACATTTGCCAAATTTTAACTCAAATTACGCCTAAACAGTGTATATATCTAAACTAGTTGTGATAAAAAAAAGCACATACTTTCTCGTTATTAGGAATGTTATGTGATACTATTTATACCACAATTTCTCTCCGAATTATTTTTTGCAAAACTCACTTTAAATTGTATTTGTCACTTAATATCATACATTTGGTGTAAAAAAATTACCAGAATGCAAGAAAGTAAAATATTTAAAAGTTAATAAATAATACGATACTGATAGCATTGGAAAACAAATAGATCAAAAAATATATTTTAGTAATTATTTAACACCATGGTATTGTAATATTCTACAAACAAGTACTTGTTTTTATTTCTGCAAATGAAAAGAATTATTGTCGTGTTATTGCAGCGTTCTTACAATGGTTAACAACAACCAACGATGACCTCTCATCTATTCGTTTTCACATTTAACACAAAGGATGAAATTTAAAATGAATTAATATAAATGTAATAAATAAAAGTAAAATAAAATGTGAAATAATATACTACTTACGTAACATCAAACTGCGTAAATTCAGAATGGGCAACTGAAGGTTAACAATCTTTATTTCATATAGGTTTTAAATAATTTCTGGAATATAAATTTGTAAATGTATAGCAAAAGCTTCAATGCATAAAACAAACTAGGAAATACAGAATTCTATACACATCCTAACTTAGTATCCAACTGCCTCAAAACAACTAAAATTACAATCAAGCACAGTATTTTCAGTGTGTCTAAGTTTGATTCATAATTACTCCAAAAATACTCAGTTTCGAAAAATTCATCATGAACTTATTTCAAAATCTTTTTCTGATGAACACATTTCATTAGGAATAAAGTTTATCTTTATATTTGTAGTTGTAGAAAGTCACTAAAAAATTTTTGAATGTTTTCAGTTGTCAAAAAATCAAGGTTTTGAACCAAATTGAGACCGGCACCATTTTCTTAAATGCCCTTCAGACTATTCCTTAACAAAATTTCATCAAAAGTAATGGGACAGTTAGTTGAGAAAAAATATGTTTAAAGAAGAATTAACAATTGTCTATATTTCAAGCAACATTACGCGAAAAATACTAAAATTTTCGAAAAATTGTTAATGAAGTTATTTTAAAATCTTTCTTTATGGAACAGATTCTATTAAGAGAAAACCTCTCCTTTAATGTTATAGTTATAGAAAGATGCCAAAAAATATTTTGAATTTCTTCCATTTTTGAAAAATCGGAGTTTTTAACCAACACGAGACCTGCGCCATTCTCTTGAACATCCTTCAGACTATCCACCAACAAAATTTAATCAAAATGGATGGCTCCATTCTTGTAAAAATCTCGTGTCTTAAAAAAAAATTCACCCCAAATAACAATATCGGTTTCAAATTCAAGGAGCCGCGACATGAGCATTATTGATTGGGGAAAATCAATATTGGAAAAAATCGGCGGAACGGTTTAGCGGTTAGTGTTGTTGAGAGACAGATAGGTTTTGCCATCAATCGATTTTTCAGTATCAAGGACCATAAAACAGGGACCATAAACCAAGGATCATAAAACAGGGATTTTGACTATATCATGTTTTAGAGGATTTTTTTCTAAATTTAGCATCTGAATTTATCTACATAATCGTTACCAGGGTCTTGTGACAAGTTTGTCTGCCAAAATTCGCAGTTTTTTCGCCTAGTGTTACATAACTTTCTCTTTTTAAGTGGTTCCTCCTTAAGCTCAAGAAAATAAAAAGTTGTAAGGAACTACTACATTGTAGGAAATTTTATCTAGAATATTTTGATAAAGAGATTTTTTTACTTGTATTCAATAATTTTTCAGATGAGGTAAAACGGAAGGAAATCATTAATAAATTAATAATAATAATAATAATAATAATAATAATAATAATAATAATAATAATAATAATAATAATAATAATAATAATTTATTTCCAAAAGAATTACATTGACAGTGAACAAAAACCACCACCATAAAAAACAATAAGAAAGAATACCAATTATGTTTGACAATTTTACATACATTATACATCCTGTTTAACCTTTCGGTATAAATTCTGGTCTTATCAGGTTTAAATTTTAAATTTAAATATAAATATATTTATTACATTTAATTTATCTTATTCAGTACACTTCAAACCCTCTCTAATTACTTTATGTACTTGTCAGAGACGGGTGTGTTACATTGTACGCTTGTTTTATTCTGTTTTTTCTTTTTTATTTTTTTTTGTATTACCGTTGTTGATTATAGTTCACTCATCGTCAGTACTGTTTGACGTGAATTGTTTTTATTGGAATTTAGATTTTTTCCAAAGAAACGCAACAGGCAGAAAAAATCAAAGTCATCCAATTATCTAGAATAACAAATAAATTGTAAATAATAAAAGGATTGTAAGGAATAAAAAGATATGTTAGTTGGCACTTGGAATAATAATAATAATAATGATTGTTTGATGATTGATAATGATGATAAATAATGATAATGATGATAATAATAATATTATAATATATATATATATATATATATATATATATATAATATATATATATATATATATAAATATTATTATTATTATTATTATTATTATTATTATTATTTCATGTTTTTTTGTTATAACTCAAATTCCCTTGGAATGTTTTTGGCAAACTTACGATATGTATTCAGCACCTTGAAAAACGTAAAGGAACAAAAAAATGAAAATTATATCGTGATTTGTTTTAGAAAAATCTTTTTGAGCACAAAATGACTGAACTATAATATGACTCGCTATTCTAAGGTTCAAGCCAGCAAAGGATTCTTTTCACTGGTTTTTATGTACAATCACTTTAAGCTGAAGACTGCTTTTTGCTCTTGAAACCATCAATGTGGAGCCCTTTTTATTGCCAGCCATACCTAGCTACTTCTACCATCACAATACAGTCAGTTACCAGTGGTGTGCCTGCTGTCTCCCCCACCCCTCCTACAATCATCATAGTGATTTGCTATTTAATTAAATTTTTATATAATGAGCATTTCTTATGTGTGATTTTTCTATTTGTTTAGAATTCAGTTTTCACAACGTGCAATGGCAGTTCTTTCTGGAGAGACTAATCGTATGTCGGGAGGCATAGACCTGCAATGTGTTACTAGGGCAAAACTTGTGGTTTTGCTGTACCTAGCTCTGTTGTATGAAGGGAGCACAATTTGCCTCAGTGACTTATTACGGTAATTATTTGCCAAAATCACAACATACCAGATCATTTCAAATTTCCTCTACATTTTCTTCTGCAAAATATAATACACTAAGGAAAGATGACAGTTTTGTACCATTTATTAGGGACCATTGACATAACATGTTCTAACTGTTCTACTTTGGGATAGGAAATTATTCTTCCAGGTCTTCAAGTAAAACTCTAGTTATGGATTTTACACTTTCACATTTTTCACATTTATACATGGTAATTTATAAATTCCAGCTAAAATTGTATACTTTCTATATAAAATTATTTCAGATATGCTTTTATGTTTGTATGTTTTTCACACTTATACATCCATAATAGAAGTCCCATCTCTATTATCACCATATAAAACTAGTTAATGATATAGGTGACCAGTTAGTGAAGAACAATTATATCGCCTAGAGAAGCTTAAGGAATCAATATAAAAGGATATATTACAAGGAAGTGTGTGCAATTTTATAATACATATTTGAAGATTTAACTCTGAATACCTCGCTTCATATCATGGTTAGAGAGAAAGGAGCAGAAACTCAAAATCTATGGGAAAGTAAATTTACTGTTTGACATTCTATACAATTTAATCTTTCTATTTTGCTCTATTAGAATGTTTCCTGAAACACTGTAATGCCTCTCAAATGCTATCATGTATGGAGACCATGCTGTTTAAAGTTGGGTTTCAGTATGCAGCTTTTTTCACTTTTTAAATTTTTTATTTTATTTTAAGAAAGATACAACAGGCTAAGTTGCCCAGTACATATATGAAAATTGTTATTGTTACAAGCTCCAATACAAGCATTGTATAACGATTACAAAGTAAGAGATAAAACTGTAATGACATTTTTAAAATTTAGAAGCTTAATACAAAATAAAATAAGTTTTGCAATAATTATATAAACAATGTTTAATGGTTTTAGAAAATGAGTATACATTAAAATATGAATCACCACATCATATCATATGCAATTCTAGTAAGTCTGGAAATCACAGAGATATACATAAATTGAAATTACAAAAAAAATCCTGAAATAACTTAAGGGGTCTATTATTTCATGGATTTTAATATTCGGCAAATAGATCCCTCATTGCTACACAATCAACCCAGTAAAAAGATTACATATTGTAACCACACCCTTCGTGTGGCTGCCCCGACTCACCTGATTTCCTGTATTTCGTCCGATCCAGCGTTGTCCCGGCTGCCCAGTCCACAGATTCCCTAAAGGGAGGCATGCGTGATAGGGCTAACTTTAATGCTAATAAAACACATGGTTTTATTTTCAAAATGTGGTGTTAATGTTCCTTTTTAAACGAGGTGAAGCTCTGGCTAAAATCAATCCTTAGAACTATCTCATATCTAACTTATTTTATACGGCCGTACGGGCCCGAGTTCATCGGCTGCCGGTCAGTGTCCTTCCCGGCGGTCAGGCCCTCCCGCGGCGTTTGGCGTGGTGCGGCCGAAGGCAGGCTGGGTCTCGCTACACACCTTTGCCATCAGAAGGTGGTCGGGCGGCCGGTGGTCACGACGCCGGTTACGGGAGCGGCGGTCGTCGACCGGCTGCGGCTCGCCTCACCTCTTTACCCACCAGCGAGGCGGTCGGTGGCTCGGCGGGGGGCGGCATTTCCGACACTTCCATCATTTGGCAAATTTTTTTTGAGTCTGCTCTCGTTTCAGCTGCGTATGACAATACTGGTCTAATTACTGCCTTATATATTCTTATTTTAGTGTCTTTTCTTAGATATTGATTTTGCCATATCGACTGGTTGAGACAGCCTGCTATTCTCTTTGCTTTTATGCTTTGTTCCTTAGCCTCTTTTACAGATCTGCCATCGAAATTCACAATTTCTCATGAACACCGTTCACATTTACTTTTATGAAGTGCATTTTTCGGTTGGAGGTGACAAATATACATATTAATTGAAATTCCGAGAGAAATATGCCACATTAAGAACAAAAAGGTCTCAAAATATGGATAATAACTTAGATATAATGGAAATATGATGCATTAACACTAAAGGCGCTAATATGCCGTATAAAATCATCGAATTTCTGTTCATTTGATGGTTTTGTGGATATTTCATAATTAGCATATTATAAAGCTCATAATTAAAAATATGATTTTTCATAAACTTCGAAGCCTTACTGATGAGCTTTGCGTAAAGCAGATTTAACTTCATTTGTAAACAATAGCAAATTTGTTAGTGTAGATCTACTTGTAATAAAACGATGTTGTTGCTCAATTGCATTGGTTGCAAATTGAGCTTTTAAGTAATCAAGTATGATGCTTTGAAAAACCTTTGCAACAGTATTAACTATGCTACTTGGTCTATAATTACTAGAATCATTTTTATTTTCTTTCTTAAATACTGAAGTGATGTAACGATTTTGAATTAAAAGGAAATATTTCTCTTAGTGAAGATTTATTATAATTCACAGTCAGAGGCATAGCAAATGCAGAGGCACAGTCTTTCAATTTTTTTCAGGGATACTTTCAGGATCTGTGTTATCAGTATTTTTCTGTTTTGAAAGTTTATTCAACACCATTGTAAGTGTTATATTTTGATGAAATTTAGATACGTCAGCCGTAACAGTACAACTTGTGTCAGTCTGTTTAGATAATTCTAAGCTGCAGATTAACAACCTTCAAAACGATAAGCCAATAAGAGTACTATTATCAACACCTTCAGAAGCGACATTATCGAGTTACGCAATTCATGCCCTGGCTTATCTTTATTAATATAATTTCAAAAGATTTGACACGATTCAGAACATTTTCAATAGAAGTAATGTATTTCTTATTAACAGTACATAATGTGACGTCATGGATACTCACAGCGACCACAGACACAGCTTTCATATAACAATATATTTATTAACAAAGAAAAACATATACACTTAATGTCCTATTCCACCCTAGGCTCTGATAGACCTACTATCCCCCTGATCGCGGGGAGCGATCCAAACCGATTGAAGATGATTTTGATGTGGCATTCGCCACTCCTACTTTGAAAGCGCGCACAAAGCCTACTTCGTGACCGGATGTCACCGCTGGGACACCAAAAGTCCGTTATCTGGCGCACCAACGCTGGTTTGCCTCGATCGCAGGAGCGATCTTATCCGATGAGGAATCGGCCGTGAATCGTGGCACTCAACCACTCTTCACTTGCGAGCACGCACACAGCATCGCTCCCCCGTGACCCGCCAGTCACACCGAGCGACCTAAAGTCCGCAGCTTGTCGTCAACTAGTGACTCGAGCCCTCGCGAGGACTGGCTCGCATATGCACCGTCGGTGGCGCCAAGTTTGTCACACGCATGCAGGTTCTCCCACTGTCTCCAGAACCCCTCCCCCCCCCCTACTGGCTCTGTACACTCGTTTAAATTAGGCGAGGCCCCAACGCGTGACCACTCGTCACCCCCCCCGCTTGATTATTCAACCTGTGAAAAGTTCATAAAGGCCGGAAAAACCCCCAAGCCTTGTGTCTCCCCGTTTCCGCGTTCTTGCCTTTACGGAAAAACCCTTCTTCCTGTGGCGAGGCTAATCCTCTACCAAGCATCCCCAAATAGATGCTATGAGGCACGCTGGCTAATACGTTACAATAATAATTTTTATACTTGGCTCTGAGTTTAGAAAATTTAATTTTATCAGAATGAAGTTTGGTCCATTTATAAACAAAGTGGGCTTTTAATTGAAATAACTCTCGAAGTTCATTATTGTGAACAAAGTTAGTATGTTCAATGATAGAAATGACCCTTTTTTGAATTACTCTAGAAAATATACCATTTTAAAGTAAAAAAAAAAATCATTGATCAACTGTCATTGATTCAATGATTGACCAATCAGTGCACAATAATTCATTCATTAAGGATTGAATATTTGAACTGCGAAAATCATTCACCATATGATCTTCAATTTTGCAATAATTAAGATTATCAGGAAGGTTCATTTCAATGAGTAGAGATGGATGAAATCTATCACAATTGATCAAAGGATCAATATTTTCTATCACAGTAAAATTTAATTTAGATACAAAACATAAATCTAATAACGCAAAATAACAATTTAATACCATATTAGGTAAATTGAAAAAAGGTATTTAGGCTTGAACTATTAGAAACATTCAATGCCTTTTTAAATGTGTTTGGTAGACAGTCAATGCCAGGAGTAGCATCAATACCAATATTGACATTATTCCAATATACTTTTGGCAAATTATAGTCTCCCACGACGATAAAATAATGAATATTCATTGAAAAAACATCTTTAAAGTCATTACAATAATCAATGTATACCCCCCTTGGTGAGTTCGGATGGATATAAACAGAGGCAATCATATGTTTGGACTTTCCATGAGTCACTTGTACAAATAGATCTTCATAGTCCTTACTGACAGGCTTCAATAAAGTACTTATAAAATAATGATTTAATAAGTGCAGAATGTTTGCACTGATCCTACTGCTTTTCTTTAATAGGAAAATATTATGTACATTCATGTTATTTTTCAAGAAAAGTGGAAAATAATAGAATTCAACTGTCACTTTTTTTTTTGAAATTATTTGCATTTTGTTTACTTTGTATATCATGTACATTAGGTTTTGATTTAGTTAGCTCATCAATATTTTTGTTAAATTTAAGACATAATTTAAAAATAAAGTAATAACAACAGATTTGGTATGTTCAAAAAATAGGTGATTACTTAATTATTTGATGACACGTAAATTATTCTTGTTTTTAATGATCCCAATGTGTCTTCTTAGATGGATTCGTGAAGGCCATTTGTCTTTCTATGAAGCAGCTAAACATCTTCCTGAAAACTGCTTTGTTCAGGGAAAGTACCGGGCCCTTTTTAAACATGGAACTGATTCACCTACATATGAAGGAATTTTAAATTGCACTTTAGTGATGGCTCAATGTCTGGGGGTGAATGACTGGCCACTTCCCAGTTCATCTTTAATAGCTAAGAAGTATGTTACAGAACTTCAGTTGCCTGGTAAGTATAGTAGTATGAAAATTCTTTCTTACAATGTTGATTAGCATATACTATAGTGTAGTTCAGCCTATGATTGTAGTATTACATGATTTCTACTACTACTACAAGCGAGGATGGTTTTGAGAGTTCCAAAATACTGAATAACATTAAATCACAAAGTAACCCAAGGATCGCAAATCCTCTCCAAATGTTGATATTTGTCCAAAATCACCTCCCTGCCCCGTTAATCCTCTTATGAATAATTATGTCCAAGTTTGTATTTTACTTACTTGCATAAAGACGTATATTAGGAGCAATACACTATTTTAATGAAAATTGAAATTTAAAGCAAATGATTTGTAATGCACAATTGCCATGAAGCAATGTCTTGATGAGCGAAACTGAAGTACGAAGAGATATGCCTAAGACACAGATTTATTGGAGTGATCGTACTTTCTTTTATATACTTTCTTTTGGTGTTGGGTTGAAAGTTAGATCATCTATGGGAAAGAAAAAAGTGACTTCACTGAAATTTTGGTTTGTTTTCTGTCAACAGAGATGTTTTCTGAACTTGTTGAGCAGTTTTTGGTTGCAGTACCATTGGCTTACAGAAAAGAAGTAATCAAAGTTATAAACAAACCAAATATGAATTATGAAGCTACTATTTTATCAGTTATTGTAATTATTTTGAAATTACTTTTTGGACTTGATGGGAAAACTGAGCATCAGATATCCAAAGCAGCTTCTCAGTTAAACATGTAAGTACCTCATTCGTAAAGTTCACCTAAAATATAATAATGCTGCAGATATATTACTCTTTAATTTGTGATTTCATTATTTGGGGGATGAGATCTATCTTATGGTAGTCTACGAACTTACCTTTTGTAGGTGAATGAAATATATAAAATAGTTTCTAAAAAAAATTGAAAATTCATAAAAACAAAAATAAACCTGTTTACTTTTCTACGTAAGTCTCTTACTTAGAAACACATTTTTCTCAGCAGGTAGTGAGCGGTTTTGTGTAACAAAGAACAATTTTGACAACTACTGCTGGCAACATAACTGAATACTCTGTGGCTGTTGTGTCCTTCAGCCCATTTGACTCTCCTTCCTTCTTTTGCTTGTTTGCAGTTGGCAAATTTATAACTGACTTCAAAGCTTCCGTTTGTGATGTCCTCGTCCTACGAAAATATAGTTTGCCAAGAGAAATAATTGAAATTTGGAAATGCAGTGCTAAACTGCTCTTCTGTAAAATTCTCTCTCTCTCTCTCTCTCTCTCTGTCTCTCTCTCTGTCTCTGTCGCGCTCTCGCTCTCTCGCGCTCTCTCTCGCGCGCTCTCTCGCGCTCTCTCTCGCGCGCTCTCTCGCGCGCTCTGTCTCTGTCTCTGTCGCGCTCTCTGTCGCGCTCTCTCGCGCGCTCTCTCGCGCGCTCTCTCGCGCGCTCTCTCGCGCTCTCTCTCGCGCTCTCTCTCGCGCGCTCTCTCGCGCGCTCGCTCTCGCGCTCTCGCGCGCGCTCTCTCTCTCTCGCGCGCTCTCTCTCGCTCTCTCGCTCTCGCTCGCGCTCTCTCGCTCTCTCTCGCGCTCTCTTTTTTAAATACAAAATTAGATTTACTTTTTTGTGTGATAAGTATTATGTTTATTTGAAAACCGAGTCTTGAATGTCAGATGGCGTTTTGGTGCACATGTTTCATGCTCCTGTGCAGTAAGGCAGCAAGCTGTGATCGTGAACATTCTGTAGTTCCATGCTTTGCATTTTATCAATTTATTTATTTATATAAGTACTCGGTTGTGAATCATGAGAAGCCATGATGCCTTAATGGGAGCCATGTACAAAAATAATTGCTTTACGAAGAGGTGTCGCTCAACAGCTGTCGCAGTGGAGGGATACATCTCCGAATTTCATGTGATGTTCACTTGTTTAGCAAACTGTCATTTTGGCTCATTCTTAGGCAAATTCTTCTTTAGCTATTTTCTGATGCTACATGAATAAAATAGTGGTGCATGCAATATCAGCATATTGCGCACTATTGTGAACACAAGAGTAAACATTTCTAGTTATCAAATGCTGCCAAATCAACCATCCTTATTGATACCTTTATTAATAATTCAACAATGTATAGAAACAGAGAAGGATAGGCATTCTGAAGATCAAAAAATATCTCCCCCCACTTCACCTTCCATAGGTCACATTAATTTTTTACTCAAGTTTTTTCCAGAAGAGAAGTTGTTTTTTTAAAGGAACAGATAAATGTAGAAATATCAGGAATAACAATATTCTTATAATTAGCAGTTTTGGAAATTGTAGAATGTTGTACTTTAAGGAAAAGAGATCTGTTTTTATAAATTTTGGGGGATAATCATTATGGGGTAGTACGGATTTTACAATGTGGATATTTTGGTAACGGAATTTATGGTAAGATAATTTAATAGCTCTGTCAATTAAATTACGGGCAATTGTAATTATTTGGTTAAAAGGGTGTTTGGCGTAATAATCCAAAATTCTCCCTGTATTAAGTTTCCTGTACCAATTTCAAAAACCTTTTAATTTTTTCTAAAGACAGACATCCAAAAAATTTACAATATTATAATTTTCTTTTTCTATAGTGAACTGCATTTGGATTGACACTATTGAAATTTCTTACTCTCCTTGATTGATCTTCTTTTGTAGTGTTGAAGGTGTCATTAATATAACATAGATATAACAAATAGTCAGTTTTTGATAAAACAGGATTTTCAAGGATTCTGATTACTGGTTGAGAAAAAAACTACTAATGGTATCTCCAATAGGTGTACCTTTTATTTGTTGGGGAAAAAAATTGTTTAAAAAAGGAACTGTTATTTATTAATAGTCTTCATAAGAAGAAGAGTTTTAAAAATTTCTGAAACAACAGTAAAACTAGCCATGACTTATGGAGCAGGTCTACTAGGGGCATGGTGGGTTAATGCCAGAAGAGCTAAAACTCTGCTTACAACTTTAGAGATGAGTACTTTAAGAGCAATAACATCTGAAACAAAAGGGAATAGAATAAATAATCAAGATCTAGGGAATGACTGTGGAGTGATGGACTTAGTTAAATTCATAAGAACAAGAAGAAAAGGTTGGAATGAACATGTTTCCAGGGGAGATAACAGTAGGTTGATCAAGTTAGCATGAGATTCAAGACCCTTAGGTAAGTGGGCCCAGAAAAAATAAATATAAGATTGATTAAAAGCTGGGCAGTGACATCTCCTGATGGAGGTTAAGTGTGCAGAAAAACAAGTTTTACCTACAAATTTTAAAGACACTCCTTTGCAGTCAATATTTCTAACAAACTGCTTTTGCAAACATTAGCTTAACGTAGAAAACAATACAAATTTTTTGTAAAACGCAAAGAGCATCTTATGTTGTATGAATGATCTTATTTTTTTGAAACTTTTATACACTGTTGGTTTTGGTTATGGTTACACTTTTGGTTAATTTTTGAGTTACTTTTTTGTTTTTGTTTTATTGTCCATAAATTAAAATAAGTACAATACAATTCATGCCCGTTTTATACATGATTGTGTTTGTGAATAGAAGTGCTTCTAATGATTTTGTGGTGATGAAGTTTCTCAAACACTCAAATCTTTTCTGTGAAAGTGAGCTCAAATTTATGCATTTACAGGAACCCTCCTCTTACCTTTTCTCAAAAATGTCTCCAAATTTTTAATTAAGTCTGTAGCACTATTTCTTTACAACTCTGCACCTATGCTATAAGCCTTTAAATATGTTAATTAGAATAAAATAGATGTGTGATGTCTGTATACAAGAGAATGTAAATGCTTCTTAAAATAGTCATATATTAAATAATAGTTCCTGACTAAGTTTTGTGCTTGTAATGAGATCAAGTGTACCTTTAGTCACTGTTGTATATAGATACACTGGACAAAGATTCAATTTGGGAGCAATTGTTGGCAAAGAAATATATTTAAATATTGGTCCAAAACTGAAGAACCTTCTGTTTTATTGATTTAAGAGAGAAGGCATATTTCAGAATAATAAATTGGGGCAACTGTACACAAAGCTTTAAATGCCGATTTCTGAAGTGTTTTTAGTATTTTGAATTCTTTTAAAATAAACTTTTTGTTTGCCTTTGTGTCAATGATTTCGTATATGTTTTAGATTGCTGCAAATGAAGAACGATACAAAAACAAAGAAACTTTTTGTTTGGAATGATTGGGTTCAACAGTTGATATGTCGAAGAGCTCTATTGACATTGTATCACTTCCCTACGAAACATCTATTGTGTCCAGAAACGTATGGAAATCCATATGCCTATATTAACTATTGTCATAATTGGCATGATGACAATGCAGGATTTGAAGAAAAGTACAATAAGAATGATGATGATACACTGAAGGGTAATTTAAAACATCATTAATTTTTCAAAGCAACAACAATTTCTCCTCTCTATTCATGGTATGTAAATATATTTCCTTCTATGGAGGAATATGGCGCCATGTGGTGATACTCGTAGTCTTGTTGAGCTGCTCCCTACTCCCTTGGTGATGTGTAGACATGTAATGCTTTAACGCATAGTTCAGTCCCTTCGAAGTTGGGTTCAAGGTTAGCGTAATTTTGGCTTTAGAAATAAATATTTTAAAAAGTGCGGAATCGTCCCAAGATTTCAGCTGCTATTCAATATTTTACTTGCAGAGTGCGACCGCTGGAGGACAGGGGAAGCGCCCAGGACCGTGCTGAAGCCCT